ATAGACATGATTTAATAAATAATAATATTTTCCGACTTATTTATGCTTCTGTATCAGGTAAAATCTGGCACAGGTGAAAATATTTATTGCCACTATTTTATTTAATACCAATATTTTTCTCAACAGGGTAAAACAAGAGGAAATGGTTTTGGCTGACATGCACCTAAAACCAGGTGAAGCGTGGGAATACTGCCCAAGAGAGGCCTTACGCAGGGTTTCAAAAATTTTGAAAGATGAATTTAACTTGGTATGTTGAATAGTTTGTGTCTGACATATGGATAACTCTGGTAATTAACTTTAATGCTATTTCTGTCTCCGGCCCTGGAGAAAGGAGGCATAAGGGTGGGTAATCTAGAAAAAGAATGCGGGTTTTCTAAATGATAGAAAATACTTTTTTCTTTCTTTCCAATTCATGTGAATTAATATACTGCTGTTACTTAGGAGATCTTACTTTTAGATGTTTGCAGTGTGAGCTATTAAATTTATGTTTACATTGTAGGTGGACTGCTTGTTTCCATGAATAAATTTTATGTCTTCTATCTCACTAAAAGAATTTAAAAAAAAACTTTAATGCTATTTGTCCAGGTAATGAATGCAGGCTTTGAAAATGAGTTTTTTATCTTGAAAGGTATACTAAGGTATGGGATACTTCTGTCTCTAGGTAAATTTGTAAGTGAACATTTTAGAAGCATGGTGAGAATTTGGAATACAAATGAAAAACTTGTGCAGGGACGGGAAGGAAGAATTGGTGCCATTTGACTCAACAGCCTACTGCTCCACATCATCATATGATGCTGCTTCCTATTTATTCCATGAAGTTATTCCTGCTCTCCATTCCTTGAATATTACTGTTGAACAGGTGCAAAAGAAAACTCATGATATCTTTGCTGCTTGTTTTTGTCTTTTGTAGGAGGAACTTTTCCATATAACACCATGCTTACTGATATTTTATATGGAAGTTTTTCTTTCTTTTCAAATTTCAATAAAATTCAACAGAAGGTGTAGGTACATAAAATATAGCACTCTATGACATCCTTTGTTTAAGAGTGCCCCCTCCCAAATGATTATGCAATTCAAGTATCACCAGCTTCTGTTTACTATTTACATTGTACAAACTGTAGTTACATGCAGAATCTGGAAAAGGACAATTTGAGATGGCGCTGGGGCACACAGCTTGTATGCATGCTGCTGACAACTTGATTTATGCCCGTGAGGTTATTAGGGCGATTACAAGGAAGCATGGGTTGTTGGCGACTTTTATGCCAAAGTAGGTTCCAAATTTCTCCCTACATATGCTAGATGCTTATTTCATTGCAAAAGAGGTTTAAAATTGGCCCAAAAGAAATTTTGGATTTTAGAATTTTGTGTGAAGGTGAATTCTGGCCTATGGAGACTCAATGTTTAACTTGGCTGAACATTACTTCTTACCTGACAGCTGATGAGCTGTAGGTCTGTAGAAATTTTTGTCCTTCAATGTCCATATTAGTCTACATAACTTTGTGGTCTCTTGGACAGGTATGTTCTAGATGAAATTGGCTCTGGAGCCCATGTGCATATCAGTTTGTGGCAGAATGGCCAAAATGTATTTATGGGATCTGGTGGATCCTCTCGGCATGGAATGTCCAAGGTTGGGGAGAAATTCTTGGCAGGGGTTTTACATCATCTTCCTGCAATTTTGGCATTTACAGCACCAATTCCAAATAGGTGCACCTATTTATCCCTGAATTATTGTATTTATAGTTGTTCTTGCGAGCAACTGATTCACCATCTTGTTATGCAATTGAGTAGGAAATAGCATAGCTGAGACTGCCTTCTCATACTTTTTATTCCGCTTGAAAAATGCTTGGATTGGACTATCCTCTCTTATTTTCAACCATTATCGATGTGTAGTTATGACCGGATACAACCTAACACATGGAGTGGAGCTTACAAGTGCTGGGGAAAAGATAACAGAGAAGCTCCACTAAGAACTGCATGCCCACCTGGAATTCAACATGGTTTGGTGAGCAACTTTGAGATCAAATCATTTGATGGGTGTGCAAATCCGCACTTAGGCTTGGCTGCAATACTTGCTGCTGGCATTGATGGTCTTAGGAATCATCTTTCTCTACCTGAACCTATTAGTAAGATGACACGATAATCCTTGACATTTTAATTTCTTTTCATTCTCTGTCTACTATTTGAAGAAATTTTTTCCATAGAGGTTATGGTCTTTTTCTTTTCAAGAATGTTAGATACTGTGGTCTAACATCTTAGTAATATTTCTTCATTGAACAGATACAAATCCTTCTAGCCTTGACGCAGAACTACAAAGGTTGCCAAAATCACTTTCTGAATCTTTAGAAGCTCTAAAGGAAGACAATGTCTTTACAGATCTAATTGGTGAAAAGCTATTGGTCGCCATAAAGGGGATCCGCAAGGTACATTTTGGATGTAATTTTTTAAATGCTGACCTATTAAATGATTTCAACCATTACAAAATGTCCTCGAAAACATTAGCATGCCCTTTCTTTGAAATGCTTATAATGATGCTTTTCACAATTTGTTTTGTTTGCAGGCGGAGATCGATTACTACTCAAATCACAAAGATGCATACAAGCAACTTATATACCGCTATTGAGTTTTTGTCTTCTGATCATTCCGCCTTCGATGTGGCTCTGTTCGTGTACTTGCTTTAGTTGCCTTCCACGTTACGTAAATAAATTAAGAATAATGTAAGCACTAAGGCCCCGTTTAGTTCACAGAACGAATTTGAGGGGAAATTATTTCCCATGACTTTTCCCAAGGGATGAGAAATTGAAGATTCCTTTCCCACGTTTGGTAACGCTGGGAAAGTAACTGGGAAATATCACTTTAATTTTTTTCCCATGTTTATTTTGAGTAGGAATGGAAAACAAAGTTTGTATAAATTTTCAATTATACTCATATTAAATCAAATAAAAAAAAGAATGCATTTAATGATATATTGTAATTCTAAATTGTTAATAGGGACAAAATGATTAAGAAAAATGTTTATTTAATATTGACTCATTTTTCCAAACTTTTCCATGAGAGGAGGGAAGACAAAACTTAAGTTAGGAGGATGTCTTCACTTTCTCTCTACTTTATCATAGGCCAGACAACGACTTCCTATACTTGGACTCATCAAACATGAGAAAACAATTGATTTTTCATCCCTAAGTCTCTTTTTTCATGAATCAAACAGGGACGAAAACAAGTAACTTAAATATAAGTACTGCCTTTTTGTACCATAAAAACTTTTATGCAGCTTTTGAGCTTAATGGTTCATTGGCCGTAATTATATCTTTCGATTGTGTACGGTGGTGGGTGGATGATGACTTTCACAAGATTGTGTACAGCCGCCGTTGGGTATGTGCCACCGCAGTCCTTGTGAGGAAACTAGAGAAACGAGGTGATTAGACCGCACAGCAAAGAAGCTAAATAAAATACTCACGTCATGTTTGTTGATTTTATTTATTTATAGAAACTACTGTCTTCAAATCCAAATAATTTTCCTTGTGAAATAATAGGAGCAATCAAATAACCGTCCATGACCAATGTTGTCTAGTCCATGACCAATTGTGAAACAATAACAATATAACAATCAATGGAGAACTTGGTGGCTGAGAGAGGGAGACTAACAATTTCTGGCAACATAAGAAACGCTTAGAGGAAGTCTATACACCATTTTTAAAGAAATTGTGTTATATCAAAGGGTAATGTTAGGCTTGTATTTGTGGGCTCCACCTCTATTAAAGAGGTGGTACATAATGTGGGATAAAAATATGAAATATTTTTGCTCACCACTTTAATCCAAGGTGTATCCTTACCACAATTCTCAGCATTTGACACGTGTCTATTGACATAACCATAGTTAACTCTTTACTTTGTATATATGGAACCATGATTATATCAATAGACCTATGTCAAATATTGAGAATGATGATAAGAGTACACCTTAAATTAAAGTGACCAGCAAAAATACTTTTATTGGTAAGCCCAACATTTTCCTATATCAAAAGGTTGACTCAGTCAGGCCCATAGTCGGACCCGTATACTGCCAATGCCATAGATAGAAAACTAACCAAAAGTTTACCATATGAGTGGGCCACTTATTGTATGACTAGAGTTTTTTGGTTTTCCTATCAATACTAGGGAAACCCTAGCAAAAGCATCGCATCTCTTGGTTTTTTCTTTACCTCTTAGCGTGCTGTATATTCTGTTGCTTCCTGATCTTTTGAGTTCTAAGGGTTAATTTGAAGGCTTTTTTTGACTTGGTGGTGAGGTCTTTCGGTGACTAGAGAAAGTTGTTCAAGGAACATGGTAAATCAGAGATTGATACGTATATGTATATATATAAATTTTATGATTGCCGTTTTCACTACTCTTTGTTTCTTCTTATTTTATATATATATATTGTTTATACCAAAATGAACAACCAATAAGCATCGGACACGTGGACCAAATTGGAGCTATGGAAGTCTTCGGCACCTAGCTACAGTTCCGTTCCTACCGATCGCACGATTAGGGCAACTCCACTCCCAGAGGCACGTGGCAGTCCCACAATTGGACTCCACAGTCTCACATCGAAATTCTAAACAACTTGCACACCTCCCAAAGCCTATAAAAGGGGACAACTATCCCAACTAGGAGGAAAAAAAATCAGAAATTACGGCATACTGCCTATTGATCTATAGTTCAATCTTAATCCGTACTTACTTAAGCATCGGAGAGCCTTCGGCCGGTACCACACTGGTGCCCTAGGTCTTACCGAGCATTTGTTATCTTGCAGATCGAATGCCCTACCGAGGCCCAGTGCAAACCGAAGGCCCAACATCACTAAGTTGCGCGGTAAAGTGACAAACTATTTTTCTGCGTCAACATATATAATTGTGGACAAAACTTTACAGGAAGCTTATCATGATCATCCAATCCCAGAGCTTCCAACTGAAGTCATATTCTCGCATATACTCCCACGGTTACCAGCAGAGGATCTGATGATGCAGTGCAGGTGGGTATGCAAGTCTTGGCCCTCCCTAATCCGCAGTCCTTCCTTTGTCGCAGCCTTCTTGAACTTTCGCTGCAGGGACACCACTGACTTCCTTTTCAAATACAATAACCGCTACTTCTCGTCAAAAATAGAGCAACAAGGGAATGCTCCAGCACCCGTCGCCGAACTTCCATACCTGCCTCAGTGCGAAGCTGTCAAAGGCAGTTTTCATGATGAGAAAACTGTGAATGGCTTGGTTTGTGCATCCACTTGGTCTGGCCCTGTTTTCATACTTAACCCTACCACTCGAGAGTTTATTGAACTTCCCCATACCGATGTACTTATAGAAACACAAGGATCATCCATGGTCAAGGCATCCGCTAACTATAACTTTGGGTTCAATCCACTCACAAACGAGTATAAGGTTCTCCAGTTCATCTGTGTTGATCCCAGGGGACTTAGAAAATGGGATTTTGAGTTGAGTACATATTCACAATAGGTACGGATTCTTCGTGGAGACCATTGCAGGTACACCAACATAGACACCTTCTTTCTGATATAGCGCGTGGGATAAGAAATGATGGAGTGTACATCAATGGGGCGGTACATTGGATCCATAAGAAGCAGAAAGTGATAGTGGCATTTGACGTTAGAGAGGAGACATTCAGATTGGTGCCGCTGCCCCAAGATTATGCTCAAGTGTTGGATGATTATGATGATTATGAAAGTGATGCTGATTGTTATCCCCGAGGAAGTGCACGTGTAGTTGAGGTGGGGTGATGTGTGGGTGTGTTTGTTGACAAGTCGGACAGGATCGTGTTACGGATTTCGAAGGAGTATCAAAATCATGTGTGGATTAAGCAGACTGTTAGCTTGATGCCCAGAGACGAACGGTACTTTCGCGGTGGGTGGTCAGTTAGAGCTTTGGGTACAATTCACACAGGTGAGCTAGCATTCGTGCGCTATTTTTTTAGATTTACACCGGGATATAACGATGGTCCACCCCAATTGCATCTTTATGATATGAAAACCAAACGATTTAGAATACTTGATTTTGTTTTTCTTGATAGTGATATGAGATATGATCAGGAAGATAGTGGATCAATTGGGATAATTTCTAGTTATGAAGATAGCATTGTCCCCTTAAAATGAATTGAATCGATGAAATTATATTATATAGATATTGCTAGCTATAGATGTAATATTTCGCCATCATCTATTACCAAATACATGGATTAATTCTCGTTTTTCCCACACCACAGAATACTATATATGAGTGTGTGTGTGTGTTTATTCTCTGAAGATATATAAGCGGTGATGAGGTTGTGGGATGATATATGTTGCTGACGATATATTACTTCTCAAGTTTTGACAACGCTAGCTTATGCTACGCTATAAGAAATCATTAATCAATATAGATCTAAAAGAATCATTAATCTTTACCATTATAAAACAAATACAATTACATGACAATAATGAATCCTCTTATATAACTATATTATATGTAGCAAAGTGACTGGACTGGACAGAAGAAGGAGATTTATTTTGGTTACTATTTCTTTTAAAAGATAAATAAACAAAATGTCACAATATACAAGATAAATAAACAAAAGGTTTCAATATACAAGATAATTCAGTTGGGTGTCACGCATGCATAAATCCTTCCAACTCGAGGTTATGGGTTTGCCCTGGCGCTGGTGGTGAGAGTAGCCAATCTCTCCCCTAAAATTTTGCAAACCAGAAATCAAAATCAAAATCAAAATCAAAATCCAATATCCATCCCAAGTCAAGTCAACTAACTAACTATCTATCTATCTGGATCTGGAGGAATATATATACACATCCTTATAACTTATCCAATCAGCTTTGCAATTGCATGCTAACGGTTCAACAGAAAGAAATCCTCCTTGAAAAAAAAAAAAAACACCTCAACTCAATCCAATTCTAAACTCCCGTGAGTGCACAAGCCCCCCTGAATATTGAATATTCATCTCTCTGAAATCATTAACAACAATTAATCATTTCAAATAGGGATGGTTGGCGTTACTCCTAATGGTGATAACCACGTTGGCGTTCATGCCCCCGAGTTCCGAGTCGACTCAGCGGCCCTACAGTACCCACACATTAATGCGACTCGCTCCTCTTCTATTTAACCGCGGGACGTGACACTCATAGCCACAAACCCCAATATGAAGTGGGACATCTACTGCGACAGGCTCCAACCCGCGCTCTTGTACGGACTCTTCTTCAACTACAATCCCACAGGCCTCAGGCTGGCATCGACCTCGCTGCGTCCGTTGTTATTAATATCTTCGAATCAGACAAGTGTGAGTTTCAAATTACCCATGCTCAGTGCTTACGTCCCTATGATGTGGCCAAAGAAATCTCAGATGACAACACCACAGCTCTGGCGTTCAGGTTCGGGCTCATGATTTCGGTTCACTGTAGTTATAGGGCTCACTTGAGCAACAAGAGAACTCCTGAATCTATTTCCACGCACTACTTTTGCAACCAGATCCAAGTCCGAGTTTTCTCAACTGATACGGATAATAATAATAACAATAGTCATATTAGTGAGGCAGGGAGTTCGAGAGTGACAACGGATCATCAAGCAACCGCATGCGGGACACCAATATGGAGATCCAAACACGGGATGTAGAATACTTTGAACATTTATCAATTTATTTTTATATTTTGTTTTTGAGAGATGCGTGTCTTGTAAATTTGTTGGAGGAATGTTTATACATATATATGGTTTTTGAATGATATATGTTGTGTCTTTGTCCTCACGATGGCATAATAAGAGTGATGATTGAAGTCCCGGGGCCCACTCTTCAAGTCAAGATATGGATGAATTTGTTTTGTTTTAGGTAATTAATTCTAGATACTTTCATTAGTTTTATAACATTTGTTTTTTTTGCCAACAAATGATAGAAGTTTTATTCCTCAAAGAAAACATTAACATCAGTTTCCAGTGTTGGAAGCAGCCAAATGGGAGGCAATAAGCGATCCCATACACATTCTAGGTAATTTCATTAATTTTGTATAGGTGTGGTCTTTCTTTCCTCATTGGTAATGCAAGTATAGATACAAACTAGCTAACTATCAGTTTAGTAGTATTTCTCAATATTGAAAGAAGTTCAAGTTCGTAAGGAAAAAGTAATGCAAGCTTAGTTACAGTGACAGATGAAGAAATTGCACACTACCTTAATTTCGGGTACGATTCTTTTAGGTCTTGAAGTCTACACTTATACAGGATTTCAGAGCGCTGTTGGCAATAACAAATTAGCAGCAAATAACAGTACTGTTTAACGGAAGGGAATTGGAGCAGACCTCTTGCCCATTCCTGAACTTAAATTGTGTTGGAGAATTAAACCAAATATGCATCATTATTGCATTCAAGAAGTTTCAATATGCTATTATGTTGAGTCTTTTCTTATTCTCTGATTTAATAAGTTCATGTATTACTAAGTTGAATAAACTGTCAGCTTCATGAATTAGTGGGTTGATAAGAGAAGTCTTTAAATAGGTCATTTATCATTATTATTTTGTGTGCTGAATTATAATGAAAGAGCCTATTCTTCTAAGAAACTAGTGTCCATTTGTTTTATTTTATTTCTCTTGTTGAATTATAAGCCTTAAGCTGACTTAAGAGTTAGTTAATCAGTTTTTTCCTTTTATCCTTGTTTTTTGACAAGTGTATGTTCTCCATTGGTTACCTAAGTGAACGGCTGAGATCATCTTGTGATGTAAGAGATCCAGCTACTGTGCATAACAGATATATTCCTCACACTATGTGTGTGAGGTTATTAGAAAGAAAATATGATGAAATGAACTCTCTGCTGCTACACGTATAGCAGACAGATTCTCTGCTAAATCTTTTCTGCTCCTTTCTTCTACTTAATTTTTCCTTCTGCAAAATCTGAATACACTAACATGGCCTCAGAGCCAGGTTGGATTGTCTAAAGAGCTGGGCGTTCAATCTGTGAAATAAGAAGATATCATCGGGAAATTTGAGTTTTCTTCTCAATCTGAAAGCAACTCGTTTTTGGAAGAATCAGAGATCAACCATGGCTGGATCTGGAAGCTCAGATGTGAGAACTCCAATTTTCTCTGGTGAAAATTATGAGTTTTGGAAGATTAAGATGGTGACCATATTCAAATCATATGGGCTTTGGAATCTGGTAGAGAAGGGAATTCCAGTTTCAGATTCGAAGAAGAAGGAGAAGGCAACTGAGGAGACTTCAGAGGAAGAAGATGATGAGAAAACAGCTGCAATCCTCATGAAGGATGCAAAGGCTCTGGGTATTATCCAAAATGCAGTCTCAGATCAGATTTTTCCACGAATAGCAAATGCAGACTCTGCCAAAGCTGCTTGGGAGCTATTGCATGGAGAATTTCATGGTGGAGATCATGTTAGATCGGTAAAACTTCAAAATCTTAGACGTGAATTTGAATATACTAGGATGCATGATAGTGAGTCATTGTCTACTTATCTTACTAGACTGAATGATCTGATTAATCAAATGAAAACATATGGTGAAGTGCTCTCGAATGAGAGGCTTGTGCAAAAGGTTTTGATTAGTCTTAGCAAGGTTTATGACCCCATTTGTTTAGTGATTGAAAACACTAAGAGTCTAGAGACTGTGGAATTACAAGAAGTAATTACTATTCTAAAAAGTCAAGAGCAGCGATTTGAGTTACACAATGCAGATGCAACTGAGAAAGCTTTTGCCTCATTCACAGTGAGTTCAAATGGTCAGAATAAGAATGCAGCTAATTCTGGTCCATCCAAGGCTTAGAAAAATTGGAATCCAAAAGGCAAACCTTGGGAATCGAAAGGCAAGCCTCAATGGAATAATTATGCACAGACTAACAGCTCATCTACATGTCAAGAAGCTGTAAAACCCCAATGCAAGGTGTGCTCCAAGTATCACTTTGGAGAATGCAGGTATAAAGGCAAGCCAAAGTGTTACAACTGTGACAGGTTTGGTCACTTGGCTAGAGAGTGCATTGCAGAGAAGGCTGTGCAAAAGGCAAACTGTGCAAGTCAAAAGGAGGTGGCTGGAAACCTGTTTTATGCAAACTGCACTACCACTGAGTCAAAACCGAATGGGGATTGGTATATTGACAGTGGCTGTAGCAATCATATGACAGGAAATGTGGATTTGCTTGTTGACATAAGGACAAATGTGGCTGGAAAGGTGCAGATGCCAACTGGTGCTCTTGTGAATGTGGCTGGCATGGGTTCACTAGTTATTGACACAACAAATGGAAGAAAATACATTAGGGAAGTAATGTATCTTCCGGGCTTGAAAGAGAATCTGTTAAGTGTTGGACAAATGGATGAGCATGGATATTGTTTGGTATTTGGAGATGGAATGTGCAAGGTGTTTGAAAGCTCCTCAATGAACAGCCTCATTATCAAAGTCCAAATGATGAAAAACAGATGCTATCCCCTGTCATTCCTAGCTGAGAATCAACTGCTCATGAAGGCTAGTATTACACATAGCACATGGATTTGGCACAAAAGGCTAGGACACCTACACTTTAGAGGACTGAAACAGTTGAGAGACAAAGATATGGTACATGGATTACCTCAATTGGAAGAGCAAAATGTTGTGTGTGAAGGCTGCCAGTTTGGAAAACAACACAGGGATGTTTTTCCAAATAATCAAGCTCAAAGAGCAATCTCTCCACTTGAGTTAGTCCACACTGATCTTTGTGGGCCTATGAAAACTGAATCTGTGGCAGGAAATAAATACTTCATGTTGATCATT